TTGTCCCCTGAGGAGCTTTCATTGGTGGCCAGGAGTTGCAATCAGACTGTAGATGTCTGCCTCCAACCCAGTGCTGGGTCTGAATTCTGAGTGGTGTGTGTGGTTATCTTCCCCTCTTTCCAGGTCACGAGTCACTTTGGAGTGGTGCTGGTCCCTGTCTGGGCTGCTTGCACACTGCCCGGCTGTGGCCCCTTTTGAATGGGCTCCATCTGAGGGAATATTGGAGGGGGTGGGTATGAAAAGTGTGTGGGGATAGGGCAGGCAGTTTTAGTAAGGTTTGTACACCGGTCCTTTGTGAGAGGGGACCTACTGTTGCCAGGACCAAGGCCCCACAAAGTGTGTGGGTCAGGAGACAATGTGTTAGCAAGGTTTGCAATGGTCTTCTTGGGGAGGGGGGACCCACAGCACCGGGACTAAGGCAAGCCTGACTGGAAAGGGCAGATCCATGAAGCCCAGGGCAGGGCTTGGTGTAAAGAAGTTAGGTAGTACATGTAGGCACAGGGCTAGTTCCCACAGGTGGCTATGTTTTTATGCTGGGGTGTCGGGGAGGGAAATGGCACCTCCCCATTCCTTTGTTCCTGGAGGAGTCCCCCTAGAGATCTCTGTCTCTCCAGGACATGCCCTGAGATTAGTAAATAACTCTCCCTACCATATATCCCAGACAGTTTTCAAACTGCTGCTTCTGTGGTGTAACTCTGCAGACTATTTGTTGTGTTCTCTTTAAGGATGAGGACACAGTTTCCTCTTGCCATCCTGGCTCTCCCAGAGCTGAGCCCACTGATTTTTAACATTCCAGGTTTTCAGTCCTGCTGGTTGTAGGAACTCACGAAATTTGGCCCATCTGGTGTTCAAAGCCAAAAGTTATGGGGATTCATCCTCCCCTGTATGATAGTCTTTTTCTCTCCCTGCTCCACACCTGCAGTTCCTCCCTCCCATGGACAGCCCCACGGGTCTGCTTAGCTCCCCAGCAGGTCTCCGCGCTTCCTACCCTATTCATGTGGCCTCTTCTCTACATTTACTTGAGTTTTTCTGCCAGTCTTCAGGTCGTCTTCTGGGTCATTTACACTGATGCGAGTGTTATTTAGTAGTGTCTGTGGGACGAGGTGAGGTTAGGGTCCTCCTACTCTGTCATCTTCCCAGCGATCTCTGGTCAAAACATTTTGAAAGCCACTGCTCTGTAGTGAGAACACAGGTGACAAGCTACACTCAGTTTTTCATAGCTTCCTATCAGTTTTTCTTCCTCAGTCTAAAAGATGGCGTTGGAGGAAAGCATGTAAAATGATAGAGACAGACAACTAACAAAAAATAGAGGAAACTTGGTGAAAACAGAGACTCTACATGGAAAAATAAACATTAACAGGAAAAGACTACATTAATATTCTTAAAGGGATGAGGAGATATTAAATGAGGACAGAGTGAACACTCAGAGAACAAGAAAAGGAGCTTTCAGAATAAAAAATAAAATTGCAGAAATGGAAACCTTAATATAGGTGTTGGAAGATAGATTTGAGGAAGCCTTGTTTACCTTTGTATCTCTTTCTAGAACCTCATTCTGCATAAATCAAATAATAATTAAAGATCTGTTAAATGACCAAGTAAACTAATGACTATAGAGCACCGAGAGGTTAAGTGATTTGCCCCAGGTCACACAGGTAGTTTGCAGTGCTAGTATTATAAACCAGATCACCTGGCTAATAAATCTTTCTACCACACCAGAAAAATGCAGTAAATACATAAGTATTTAAATATATTTTATTTGGGGGCAGCTGGCTGGGTCAGTCAGGAGAGTGTGTGACTCTTGTTCTTGGGGCCATGATGAGTTCAAGCCCCATGTTGGCTGTAGAGATTACGAAAAAAAAAAAAATTTAAATATATTTTGTTTTGGGGCGCCTGGGTGGCTCAGTTAGTTAAGTGACTGCCTTCGGCTCAGGTCATGATCCCAGGGTCCTGGGATCGAGCCCTGCATCGGGCTCCCTGCTTGGCTGGAAGCCTGCTTCTCCCTCTCCCACTCCCCCTGCTTGTGTTCCTCGCTGTCTCTCTCTCTTTCTCTCTGTCAATTAAATAAATAACTAAAAAAAAAAATCTTCCTTCTCTTTTTTTTTTTTTAAGATTTTATTTATTTGAGAGAGAGAGAGAAAGAGAGAGAGCATGAGAGGGGGGAGGGTCAGAGGGAGAAGCAGACTCCTCGCTGAGCAAGGAGCCCGATGTGGGACTCGGTCCCGGGACTCCAGGATCATGACCTGAGCCAAAGGCAGTCGCTTAACCAACTGAGCCACCCAGGCGCCCAAAAAAAAAAAAATCTTAAAAAAAAGAAATTTTTGTTTTATGAGGCACATATTTTGTTTGCCTGTTGACATATGGAAAGAAGGAGTAGGCTGAGCTGGTGTGACATTTGAACACTGGTGTTTTTATCCAGTTGAGTTGAGAGTATCAGCTTCTCTGTGCCTATTACTTTTGTGGAGTTACTAGAAGTTCAAAGGACATTATCAATGACCCTAATAAGGAGAGAGCTAAATAGTGAGAAAAGACCAATCTATGGAAACAATTAGACCATTTTAACACTTTATTACATCGTCTCATTAAAATAGTAATAGAATGTAAACATCAGACTGTCAGTAGTATAGGAATTTTGAGAAAGGAAAATCAAACTCTGTGTGAGCCTGGATCCTCAGAGGAGGCCAGAAAATCACTTGGGAGGTATTTCCTGCCTGATAATCTCCCTAGCAGAGAGCTGGTGGGTATTGTGCTGCCCCCGCAGTCTTTAGCTTAACCACTCTGGTGCTTTCTGGCTGGGCCTACCATTGGGCCAATTCTGTTTTTCCACACCAGATGTTTACACCTGGTTAAATACAATCTCCACAGACTGTTACTAACTTTAGACATAAAAAACTACATGACCTCCAACCTGTCACAACCAACAATGTGATTCTTAGAGCTCTGGAAGTTTATTAGAAAAAAAAATTAGACAAAACTGCTTCCACGTCACATATAGCCCATCACAAAATATTTTTGCTGATCTCCATCTTTTTCAGGGGAGTATGGTTATTTTCTTCTAATTTATTGGTATGAAATGTCAGGAGGTCTTTCTGGCTCAGGTTTTTCCCCCTCAATTGCCAAGTAACGTAACTCGTCTTTTCTGGCTTAGAGTAATAATAGTAATTAGGGCAGAGGGCATTGCACCATGGAGGTAAAAATTCAAATGAGTATCTTTGAAGCACATCATCAGTATCTTTGGGAGCTGGGTTTGTGGAAAACACACACTTAAAAGGCAGAGGTTATGATCCTCCACAGTATCGCTTAAACTGGTAACAGAATCATCGCTGGTGCTGTCTGTCGCACACAGAGATCTTTGTTTTGAGTGATTGCGCACAGTGGGGAGGGAAGAACAAAGAATGTCTGAGAAACTTTGTGGCCTTCAATCAGCTCAGCCAGTTTCTAGATAATGGTCAGGGAATAGTTTTGATGTGTCCCCTTGCGGGGTGTGCTTCTGCTGGTCTTCCTCAAGTACTCCCACATGCGTGGGGACATCTACTGGGGGAGGCCGGAATAAAGGAGCGGAAACCGGGGATTAAACAAATAATAAGGAACTCAGCATTCAAACACATCTGAGATGACTGAACTTGACTGATGGCAGAGCCAACTAGTTATTACTGTAGTTTATTGGAAACCCCCAAACCAAGTTTCTCCACAGGAGTGAATAATGTTCTGCCACTCAACTTCCAGTAACATCTGTCATGCAGAAATTACTTTAGAGACTGTCTATATATGTCATGTTCTCTTTGCTATGACAATTGTATGCACATTTATTTACTTATTTATTTTAATAAAAGATTTTATTTATTTATTTGACAGCGAGAGAGGGAACACAGGCAGGGGGAGTGTGAGAGGGAGAAGCAGGCTTCCCGCCAAGCAGGGAGCCTGATACGGGGCTCGATCCCAGCACCCTGGGATCATGACCTGAGCCGAAGGCAGATGCTTAACGACTAAGCCACTCAGGGGCCCCTGTATGCACATTTAATAGTTTTCTGACAGTGGTTATCATTTGAAAGAGAATCCTGCAGGTAGGCAGTTTGTCAAATGTTTGTGGAGTATATTTCACTTTTATTTTAAGATTTTATTTATTTATTTATTTGAGAGAAAGAGAAGAGAGTATGAGAAGGACAGGGAGGATCAGAGGGAAAGGAAGAAGCAGGCCCCCCGCCAAGCAGGGAGCCCAATGCTGGGCTCGATCCCAAGACCCTGGGATCATGACCTTAGCTGAAGGTAGACGCTTAACTGACTGAGCCACCCAGGCACCCCTGTATTTCACTTTTATAATATTCTCATATATAACATATAATAATAGCTACTTACTGTATGCTGGGCTCTCACTGTTCTAAGCACTTTACCTTATGAGATAGGATAGGTACTATGGTTATCTTATTATACTGGGGAGGAATCTGAAAAACAGTGGGGTTAAGTCACTTATCACATGGTTTGAAAATGGTGAGTTGGAATCTGAGCCAAGGCAGTCTGATTTGAGAGGCCTCTGGCTGTAGCCTTGACAATTTTAGAGATACAGACTTAGAAGGTAAATGTCAAAAACTAGGAAAAAAAAAAAAAGATTCCAAGATATTGAATCTGAAAATGAACCCTGCCCATAAAGTATTTTATCAGTGTAATTATTTAGAGAGCAAGAAGGTCTTTACGAATACAGGTGGTTACTAAATTAGAAGGGTAAGCAGGAAAAAGCTTTGTTATTCTGGGACTAGCAGTAACATTTATGATTTGAAAAAAAAAAAAAAAAAACATTTATGATTTGGTAGTCATTTAATCAGCTGCTAGATGAGCATAACAGTTGTTCTAAGTACAGATTTTACATGTTTCACACATAGATATATAAAAAGTACTGTCTTAAGAGGTATATGCATCTTCATCATTTCAATAGCAAAGAGTGCAGGCTGGTTCCCTTTCACTGGCAAGGCTGTGTAGGAGAGCCTGTCTTTCAGAGATGTTCATACTTAGCTGATGGTGGAAAGAACAAGGACCACTTGCTGTTGTACCTACAGAGAAGAATCATAAGCATAGCAACTGCATGTTGAATGCTGGCTCGTGCCAGGCACTTTGTTTGGAGTTGTACACGCATCCCTAATAGTCACAACTCTCCTGTGAAGACAGGATTCTTGTACCCATTTTTATGGGTTGGGAATGTGTGTCCTACGTGATACAGCTCCTAAGTGACAAATTAAAATTAAGGGCTGTCTCAGTCTCAAAGATGAAATTCTCAGCTCACATCTGATAGAGCAAGAATTCGGAGATCTTTTCAATAGCAGTGGTATTGATTTATACTAAGGTTTGTTGGTTACCTTTTGAGGATGCCTGGCTGGAATTAAGGGTGCAGACAGCAAAGTGGGCACATCATGGATAGCTGGTATGATTCCTTCAGAGCCTGGTGAAATACAAAAAGGACCCACCAGGCGGAGGAGAAAGAAAGCTCTCCCTAGTAGGTTTATCTAAAGATATTCAATTGTAATGTTTACATAAGTACATTCTTAACTAAAAAAAGATACAAGTAATTCACTCTCATTTTTGAGGTATTAAATGAGCACAACAAGGAGAAAAGACAAAGTGCCTGTTATCCTACTACCCAGAGATAAATATTTTACTGTATATCTTTCCAGATTTCTTTCACACACGCACACTTTTTTTTTTTTTTTTTTTTAAGACTCATTTTAGAGAGAGAGGGAGAATGCACACACTAGCAGGAGGGGCAGAGGGAGAGGGAGGGGCAGAGAAAATCTCAGGCAGACTCCGTGCTGAGTGCAGAGCCAGATCTCCCGACCATGATCCCGACCATGAGATCAGGACCTGAGCTGAAACCAAGAGTCGGATGCTTAACCAACTGCACCACCCAGGTGCCCCATCACATACACACCTTTGAACTTCTTTGTGCAATAATACCAGATTAGAATCTTGGGATCCATTAAAAATTTATAGAATTTTGCAATTTACCAAGCTACCATGGTATTTAGTGTTTAGGAACATAAAACTTGTGCAACCGAGTCCCTAATGTACAATCCTTAAAATAGCCAAGGCTTAGAGGCAACAGGTGTATTTCTTCTAGTTGGAAAGCCAACTGGATTGTAAACTTTTAAGGAATTTAAAATGTGACCTACCACTACTACAGCATCCTTAAAGCAATATAAAAACAAAACAAAGAAAAGAGCTGGGGACAATGGTGTGAGCAAGGATGAACAAACAAGAGTACAACAGATATGTTAGGGCTCACCTGGGCGTTAGCTGTTTTCATCTCAGGCCTAGCCATTTTAATTTGAGTTTTAAGATATAATAAAATACTAATAACTATAGCTATATAATAAAATACAAATAACTAATAGCTATAATATATTGAGCCCATGGTGGGAGCCAGGTGTGAACGGAACACTTTACATATATACCCTTTTATCTTTTAAAGATACTTATTAAAGGGGCGGCTGGGTGGCTCAGTTGCTTAAGTGTCAAACTCTTGATTTCGGTTCAGGTCATGATCTCAGGGTCCTGGAATCGAGCCCTGCATAGGCTCCACATTGGGTGTGGAGCCGGCTTAAGGTTCTCTCTCCCTCTCCCTCTGCCCCTACCCTCGCCTCTCTCTCTCTCTCTCTCTCTCTCTCAAAAAAAGAAAAGATGCTTATCTTATTCTTATTTTGTAGTAATCTTAATGAAATAAGAGCTAAGGGCTTTGCTTTCAAGGTGATATAGGGGAGGAAAAATATTTTTCTCTTTACCTTTCTGAGTTCTTGGCCGAGACCTTCCCCCCCACCCCCATAATAGAAGACAATTTAATAGGAGAAAAATAAAACCAGCTTAATTACATACATTCATACGGAGTCTCACAAAAATAAGAGTTTCAAAAAGTGACTAGACAATTGAGATGTATATCATCCTGAGCTAAGCACGGGGATAAAGGCTGGGGCTTCAAAGGGAGAAGCAATTCAGGGGAAGGTGAGAAGAGAGAGGTTTGGTAAACAAAGTCCTACTGGTAAGTCCCTCAGGTGAAAAAGTTATCAGGTAATAGCTCTCTTCCTGGTGCAGGCCCCTTTCTAATGTAAATTTCCTTTATAAATGTAGATTTTCCTTACAAAAGGGTAACATCTACTCTTCAGAGCTTCTCCTGCTTCTGCCGTTTCTTAAAAATGGTTAGCTTAACATAATCCTTATACTAAAGAGGCTTGTGTTGGGGTGGCACTTTTGGCTACCCTTCAGGCAGGAGAAAAAATATATCTCTAGGATGACCTTAAAAAAAAGTCAGAATTCGGGGTGCCTGAGTGGCTCAGTCATTAAGCGTCTGCCTTCGGCTCAGGTCGTGACCCCAGGGTCCTGGGATCAAGCCCCGCATCGGGCTCCCTGCTCTGCCGGAAGCCTGCTTCTCCCTCTCCCACTCCCCCTGCTTCTGTTCCCTCTCTCACTGTCTCTCTCTCTCTGTCAAATAAATTTTTTTTTTTTTAAGTCCGAATTCTTTATTTTGTGTGTGTGTTTTTTTTGTTTTTTTTTTTTTGTCTTTTCAGTTCTATTTACTTTGGTAAATGAGCCAGTACTTTCAGTGGTGGGTCCAACAACCCAATGAGCTAAAGGTGGCCTTCTTACCCTCAACCCAGCTTGACTTTGGCGAATTTACAAATGTGCCCAGTGTTAAAGGTCAAAGCCTGTGAGTGCAGAAGAGATGGGATTTCTTCTCCTTCCCTTGCCTGTTAATGGCATCATGTTGTTTTTCCAAATGCTGCAGTCAGCAAACTCGAGAGTGTGTGTTGATAACCAGTGCGTTATTTTTTAGGTTTTCGTGTTCTCAATAATTTGTTTTTAAACTAGAATCAACATGAAGTCATTCTTTTCAGTTTGGATATAACTTCAATGCTAGGGAGTGACATGCGGCAGAACATGTGACTCCAAAATGTGCCACTTTGGCATGTGGATTATTTTGAGCTGAAGGCAATCAAGACCTAACAGACCAGGAAGTTTTCTTTTTTATTTACCTCTCCCTTAACTGCCTATGAGAATTTAGATAGGGGGACAGACCAGCAAAAGAGCTATTACCAGAGATAACTTTTTTATTTTTTATTTTTTTTATTTGACAGAGACACAGCGAGAGAGGGAACACAAGCAGGGGGAGTGGGAGAGGGAGAAGCAGGCTTCCCGCGGAGCAGGGAGCCCGATGCGGGGCTCGATCCCAGGACGCTGGGATCATGACCTGAGACGAAGGCAGACGCTTAACGACTGAGCCACCCAGGCGCCCCCAGAGATAACTTTTTACATTAGAAAGACTGATCTGCTCAGCAAACATTTGTTTACCAAAGTCTGCTCTTCCCACCTTCCTGTGAATTGTCTTCCTTACCTTTGAAGTCCTAGACCTCTGCCCCCTTCTCCTCAGCTGAGAACGGGGTATAAACCTCAATTGCCTGTCTGGGAGACCCATAGCTTTGGGATTCCTGTGCATATGAAATTAAATTTGTTTTTCTCCTGTCACCCTGTCCAATGTGAACTTAATTATTAGACCAAAGAAACTAGAAGGGAAGAAAGGAAAAGTGTTTCTCCCCTACAGGAACTACAGAAAAAAATATACCTTTTAGATATGCCTAGACTTTATTTAGTATAATTTGTTAACAAAAATAACTTGTTAACAAAGTTTGAGATACCCATCCCATGAACCAGATTCGCAGTGGGGATGGGGGAATAGCGATCTTCTGAGAAATTCTCTTTTAAGATACACATCAAGTTAGGGAAGTTTTTCTATTATAAATTGTATGTTTTTCTCCTCTTAATCCGTTTTTGTCAGTTTAATTTTCAGACCTAGCCAGAGACTGTAAGAGGGATGAGAAAAACTTTTTCCTTCCCTACAGCACTCATTCTATTTTTTCTGTAGCTATCATTGGAATCAGTCTTGTAATGACAGTGTTGTGAATGGAACTACAATGATTTATTTGAATTAAAGACTAAACTTAAGTTCTCCTGTATTCCAATTTAGACGACACTCTAGGTGTTTCTAACACCACAGGGAAATCTTTTCGCCTTTGTAGATCAGAGAGAAGGGTTTTGAACACAGCGGCGGCCTTGGGTATGGGGCCCAGCATTTGTGGCCATAAAGCACTGCAGAAAGGAAGAACATTGTTACATTGGGTACTTTTCCGGTCTGTGTTTGAAAAACCTGTGAAAAATGATGGGTTGAGAGAAGAGGAGGGATGTTTTCTTTCGGGGAACCTGACTATGGAAAGCAGCTCGCAGCTGAACACTAGAAACAGAGGTTTTCACTAGCATGTAAACTGGCTTGCATTGAGCACCAGATCACCACAGCTCTATCTGAAGCAAAATGAACTCTCTCTCTCTTTAAAGACAACAGAAAGCTCTTAAGGTAATGACTGGACAAGTATCATTAATTCAGGAGACAAGTATCATTAATTCGGCAGACCAGCATGATTCAGGTTGAAAGTGCCAGCCTTCAGGAACATGCAGCAGCCATTCATTTTGAAAAGCTGCTGAGCTAAAACAAAACAAAACAGAATACCTCTAAGAGACAAAGACCTGGGAAAAACAAAATGGTAAAACAAAACTTTTGAAAACAGTTTAAGATTTGAGAAGTCTAGTTAAACATTACACAGGGTAATGTTTATAAAGCACCAGGCACATAGTAAGCTATAGTTAAGATTTTTATTTATTTGAGAGAGAGAGAAAATACAAGTTGGGGGAGGGGCAGAGGGAGAAACAGACTCCCCGATGAGCAGGATCATGGGATCTTGACCTGAGCAGAATTGAAGGCAGCTGCTCAACAGATTGAGCCACCCAGGCACCCCAAGTAAGCAAACTATAGTTAAAATTGTAGTCACAATTGTTCTACTACTGAGAATAGGAGAGGGAAAAAAGGCAGGAAAAGGACGTTGGAAAACTAATGGAAAGCGGTATGTAGTTCCTCAAGAAATTAAAAATAGATACACCTTACAATCCAGCAATCTTAATTCTGGGTATATATCCAAAGGAAATGAAAATTGGATATTGAAGAGATATCTGCACTTCT